CATAGACTTCAGGGCTGACGCCTTTGTTTGTCAAATTGTGCTAGTATAACATATTTTTCACTTGCATATTAACAGGACACGACATGACAGTGATTTTCCGTCTTCCGCAAGTCAAAAGAAACTGACTACCTATAGTTTGTATTATTGATAAAAAAGCAAATCGTTGAGTCTATTCTTTAGCAGTCGAAGGAGAACTAATTAAAACAGATTTATGATAGTTTGTCATAGTATTTCGTCTTATTTACCACGGTTGGCGCCATATCGTCATTTATAAGTGTTATGTATTCACTCGAATTGTCTTAAATAACAATTTTGACGATTCAAATGACGCCAAACATGGTAAACAAGAGGATATTCCATGATAAACTGTCATACATTTGATAGCTATGAGATATTGAAACAAGCCATGCATGTAAACAAAAACACACACACAAAAATAATGATAGTCTAAATGTAATAGTCTTATTTGCACAAACGAAAACATGTGGATTATAAACTTAAGTGCACTAAAAGTGTAGGTACTACTAACCAAAAAGTGCCGAAAAGAACAATATACTGTAGATGAGACATATTAGAAAACACAGGAATTCACATTACTCAGGAATTTTCATGRTTTTAGTGTGGAAGAAGGCGTGTCAGTTTGRAATCTTTATCACAACTTAAATCCCCTCCCCTTACCACTTTATGATAAAAGAAACATTTCTAGGTTTAAAACTAATTATTTTTTTWAATAATGTTTACAGTTCGAAATAAGACGATATCCATCTCAAGCCTAACATTTCCTTAATAGTCTCTTCAGAAATGATGTCTAAAAGCTCTTTTGTTGTCAAAAGCCTTTTACAGAGGACATACCACAACCATAGAAACAGAAAATTGCGGTCAACAATTAGTGATATTTTCAGAATGCAAGTAAATGGAAACTTTATGAGATACGAGATCAAGGAAATAGAGAGTAAAATAAATAGAATAAAAGAATAGTGCATACAGAATACTAATATAATATGCAGAAATCATGACCTTTTTTTTCTAATATTCCAAGTGTATATAAAATATATCAGAAACTATGGGATATCATCGCCAATATTTTTTTTTGAAGTTGCCGAGCACTAGTACTTTACGAAAAAAATATTGGCAAGATACACCATAATTTGTAATATATTTTGTATCAGTTGAAATATGAGAAAAAAGAGATCATAATTTCTGCATATTGCTGTATCAAAATAATAATTATCAATTAGGATAATAAGAATTAATAGTAATTTCATACTTATGCTGAACGATACTTCAAAATATTTGTAAAAAAATACATATATAAATAAATGAATAAAACTGTGTCACACGATGAATAATACAAAATAAAACATACAAATAACATTTGGAAATCAGCACGAAAAGATATTCAACGACAACATTAATTGGAAAAAACGATGTCATACAGAAATAGAACTTTCGTATAAAASGTTTTTTAGCGCAAATTATAGCTTCATGATTTAACAGATTAGAATTCATATTTCTCACTCTTACCTCACGGCAAAATACTGCATACTAGTCTTTCTAAGGAAAGCGTCATATATATCTTTGTATCAGATTTTACAATGCAGGTCTAGTCCTAGCTTCAACGGAATTCATTATTCGCTATATTCAATCATTGTATCGTTTCCCTCCTCTCTTCCACTACCCCTTAAAGGTTTTATCTAACYCTAATATCAACCCATGTCCCTCGGTTGGTTAGGAGGTAGGACTGGAATCGAAGAGATATTCTCCCCCTCCCTCTCGCGTGTCCAAAATAAGACAGGGATCCCAAAGTGAGTCGGTTGGAGACGACGAAGCAAAACACCTATATTCAGAAAAATAATTAAAAAGAAGAAAAATTGAAATGATCTTTTTTTACTTGATGTAATTGTGATATCCGCTGGGCAGTTGTATAGTGGGTGGTAAGGTAGTGTTGAGGGAGGGCGGGAGAGGATGAGTGTCCTTCCATTCAAACTTTATTCTTCTTAGTCCGGTCTTCTGAGTTTCCTGATTTATTTGTGTATTTTACGTCGCAAAGATCAAGTTAGAAAAGTACTTTAAACAGCGAAGAAATAACAAAAAAATATGAAAAATACTGAGTAGAAATAACAAGAATCCATCTTATGTTTCGGAGAACAAATCTCGGACAAATTGCGGCACTAGGGAAGCGAGAAAGCAGTTTTAGTTTCTTCGCCGCCCCTTGGATCCGTTAAAGTGGGCGTTTTGCCGGCGCTCGCAGCAATAAACATGCTTAAGAGTTTGTGATCGATGGCAATTTAGCTAATATGTTTCATGTTTACACCGATACAATCAATCAAGGGTTAAAATAAAACGGAATTACATTAAACGTACCGACAGACGTCGTTAAAACTATTGACCTAAATTGTATTTTCTTGCTCCTTGAGTTAGATCTTCAAAACACGGAATATTTCAGAAAGAGAATCAGAACAAAAATGGACATGGAATGTCGAAAGAAGATGAAAAAATTGAAAGGGAGAAGAAAAGAATGAAAGGAATCAAAGATTATAATCAGTAAAATTCAACCAACACATATCTAAAACTAGGAAAGCATACGATCGCGAGACAAAAAAAGAGGCTTTTGAACATGACTAAAGAGACGTCCATGGTTGACATAACGAACAAAAAAGGGAGGAAAGTTTGCGCAAACGAAAATAAACAAAAAAAAAAAAAACAACTCTACACGTTAATACAGCATAATAAGTATGTTTGAACATTAAAATCAGGAAAGAATCACGCCCGCTGGAAGAAATAAACGACATTGAAATACCTATAATTTATATGCAAAGTGAAATATCTTCTAAGTTTGTATTGGCGAGTTTACTTAGAAATATAATAGGGAAGGAAATTGCCGGACCCAAAGGATATCTTTGGCCATTTTACTATTTATAAATCAATTGATTAATTGAGTGAAAATAGATTATATGAGGGCGTAATAGGTAGAATAAAGTGATGGACTGTAGGAGTTGATTGAAATGAGCAGCACAGCTACAAACCATGTATAGATGTTTAGGCCTGTATTGGGACTTATCACTGTCCACCCTGTATCTACTGCGCTGGATCGGGAAGGAGATGCAAACTGAGCGCCGAGTCGAAGTTCTCAAAGACCATGGTGCAGTTTTCATCAGTCGTTTGAAATTAAGACTTATCACTTATTGTACGCATGCTCCTGTAGTATGTGATGTTAGAATCCGCCCCACATGGCTTAGTGCCTCTTTTCTTAATAATGAACATTTCAGTCTAGTTATCAATTGATCAATCAGTTAACTATCTATTTATTGATAAATGTACTCATTAGTTCGTCACTTGGTGAACTAAATGAGTTATCCAGGTGCACTGAGATTTAAGGGTGGATGCCAGTTAGACCGATCCCCCCCCCTCCCCCTATTAGAAAGTCCTGCTCAAATAAATGGAGAAATACAAATTTATATGACTTGCACAATTCAGACACACAGACAGACAGACAGACCAACACATATTGCTAAATTGTACTGAATGGATATTAACACCTTTTTACGTTCTAACTGCATTATTTGGCTATCACACTTTAATAGTCATATTATGTTTCACGGGTTTAATGAACTTACTATAGCAAGTTTTTCATGGTTTTAGCGTTTGCCGTCTATTTATGTACTTAATGTACTGTACTAAGCACTTCTTTTGACTTATTTATATATATTAATTAATGTGTGTATTTATTGTGTATATTATTTACTTACCACTTCACTTCATTCGTAATCTTTAAATGTAGCGATGCAATCGACTCTAATCCGACTACGGCAGAATCGTGATTTAAAATTCGCAAAAAAGAGTTAATTTCAGTAATCCTCTACATTTTTCAGCATGCCGGCATTGCATTAACTTCCCGTCGTAACACAGTGTTTCCGCAATATAGTATTTATATATATACACTTCTTTTCTGCCTATTTAAGATATATTATGAACAGCGAAACCGCTGACCACTCCCGAGACTGCGTACAGTAGGCTCACAATATAGTTCCATATTCCTTCATTTCTGCATTGATGTCGAGATCAAGGTGATAACGAGAGGTGTCCATTAACAGAAAGATCTGATTGGGAATATAAAGTCAAAGCCATTGGCGTTGATTTTCAGCAAAAAATACTCAAGAAAGAGTGACAAAAATGTAGAGTAGAGATAAAAACGTGCAACGCACTTCTTATCGCTGATAAATTCCCTAGAAACAGGAAGCGTACAACAAAAATAGAAAATGAACAACATTTCGCGCTCATTTATCTGCCTAAAATACTCGCAGGATGCATAGAAAAGATCGACTGTCGGATGGAAAGGCCCAAAGCATGAAGGATGTAAAAGACTTTATTGTTTATTTAGGTTGAAGAAAAAGGCTCAAATTTCCGAGCTCTTTTTGCTTGAAAACAATAAAATAATTTATTACGCACGGAATGTGTACAATTGAAGTGTTTTGCTTTCTTTTTCATATTTTTTTTATGTGAAAAACATGAAGTTATAATCGTGAAATGTGGCCTTGTCTGGACTAGTTTCGTACCAAATGTGAATATTTGAATTTTCTCAACCAAAATTAATTGCCAAATGAAAATTACTTTTGAACAGCATGTATGCGCAAATGAGAAGTAAAAGTTCATTAATAGTATTATATAGAGAGTCTCGACTATGTGTTTTAATCAGTAGCACGGAACTTATCTAACCCTAGTAGAACCCTTTTTGTAACTTAAGATAAACCAAATGTAATCACAAGTAAGTTTGTAAAATATTACGGCACAATATCACCACAAAAGACAAAGGTAAGAGCCCCGATATCAATCCAAGCCAAAATAGAGAAAATTTGAATTGATAAATCCTGTGACAGTTTAAGCTATGACTACGAAGATAATTTCAATTCCTAATAACGATTTGACGGGCCCACTGTATTCATCGCCATTTTGAATTTTAATGCAAGGTTTACTAAAAATGCCATCTGGTGAATTAACAATCTGAAAGTTCAAGAAAAAAACGCGCCAGGTGATCCAATTTTTACAACATTGCCCTTCATTAAGGAGACATGGGGAAAGCTCTCTTAGTGGTTTGAGTATAAAGTAGACATCATTGCATCTATTCAACACGGTCGACCAGCTTTGACGATGAAGGAAGGAAATATGCCCGCGTTGCTTCGCTCAAGTATAGGTGATCGTCGACTTGTCATAAATGTTGGAGGAAGACGCTATGAGACATTTCAAAGCACTCTAACAAGCATCCCTGATACGCGTCTTGCCTGGGTCGCAGGGCAGCCTCACGAGGCTCCCGAATATGACAGAATCAAAAACGAATTTTTCTTCGACAGACATTCAGGTCTGTTTGAGGAAATTTTAAATTATTATCGAACGGGAAAGTTGCACTGTCCAAAGGGAATTTGCGGGAGCGCCTTCGAGGAGGAATTGTCGTTTTGGGGAATAGATGAGGAACAGATGGAAGCATGCTGCTGGCCAGAGTACACTCGTCAAAGGACAGCCATTGAGAACTTGCGCGTATTCAATGGAAATACTTCTCAAGAGATTGTTAACAGCGAAGCGAGCTGTGATTCGTATGAAACACTTTATCCTAGGAAATCTTCCACGGACAGACATGGAATTAAAACAATTTACAGAAAAATACAACCTTGGTTTTGGCGGGCTTTGGATGAGCCTTTTTCGTCCATTACGGCGAAGGTAAAGATATGAGAATTTAGATTAATAGTTTATTGAAATACATTGAAGAAGCGCAGAATTACTAAGTGTGGTGTTTTAAAGACTTATTCTTATTCATATCGTATAAATCATATGCATTTTTAGTCGGAAAAAAATTATTCAACTCAAGAGATCAGACAAAAACTCTTGAAAAATGCCTTAATCGAGACATTTGAACGGCAAAATTCCAAAACATCGGAGATTCATATGAATAACATGGATTTTTAGCAAAAGAGGATAGCTTTCATCCAAGACAAAGTGATCTTAATTAGAGAAATAATAAATAAATCACAAGTCGCACAATTATGTCGCACACAGATTCATTAAAAAAATATGAAAATTGATTGGAGATTTTTTTAATAAAGGAAAGTGAAAAGGAGCAGTTGACAGATTTTTTGAACAAGAGAACCAGAACCCAACGGAGCAAAAATGTAAACAAAACAAAATAAGGCATCATCTCAAGGCAGATGTTCCCGTCATTCGCGTGTTTTTACTGCTAAAAATCTGACATTGGTCGTCTCTTAACAATGACTCAAGGCGTTCTTGCTAATTCCAAGTATGTTTCGACACTAATTGCAAAACCCTCAATAAAGCGTAGACCTTAAAAGGGTGAGTTTATCCACTGTGGCAGACTGCACCGTTTTGGTGCATTTTTAATTGAAGAGTTGGAAATATAAACGTCGTAGCGTCTAATGTTCGATATCCCGCCAACGTTTTGATTTATAAAAATACCAATATTTGTTTCAATGCATATATTTCGAAATACATGTTATGAACATCTATCATTAGAAGTTTTAGAACGTCAATGTGACTACACGCGCGCGTCAGAATTCGCGCCATTTGAATGAGGATAATCTACCGAGAACTCCAGAAGAAAAATCAGTAGTGAAATTCAAAAAGAAAAGAGAAAAATAAAGACAGAAACTATGCAAATAGCAAAACAACTCTGGCCTCGAGCAGCACAAGTTTTCTTAATAAAAAACACATTTAACAATTTAACAGAAAATTCTGTAATTAAAAAATCGGACTGAGTGACGCACGCGTCGACTACAAATTTCCCGCCATTTTAATTGCCGCAAAAAGGTATATTAATCTATGAAATCTAAAAACTCTATCATTGATAGAACTAATGATAACATCAAAATGAAAGAAAATAGCAATGAAATTTAGGGTTTTATCATATACATCAAGAAAAAAAAGGACTTTTTCGACCGAGGTCCGTTATCACACATACGCACTAATAAAAGCTTTAATTTATTTACCAATACTCTAAAAACAAGACATTACTGTACGCTCAAATCGACAGTCATTATTAACAGTTTTAATTACAAAAGATTAATACAGCGAGAAGGAATTGGATTGGCTCTGAATACAACCATTTGAATTGAATATCGTACAAAAGCAAACACACAAAAAATACTAATTCCCAAGAAGATCACTATACAAAAATTGAACTTAAACCGATTACGAGGACTAAAAAGACGTATTTCAACTTGTGCACTTAGATTACTATCAAACCGCCAGTCAATATCGCAGACATCATGAGGTTTTATGTACAAACAATAAAAACCCGACACTAAAAATCTATGACTCAATACCTAGGAAGCATTACAAAAGATTACAAAATAAGAAATCTTGACTGGATTATAACATCACATCTATAGTAACATTTGAATCTTTATTATTGCATTACTAAAATCATCGCATTTTTCTCAATTTCTCCTACATTGAATCCCTACTGTTGATATTTAATACAAGATTCAGTATTCACTGATGTTGTCGGAAGATACTGCCGAAAGATGTCGCAATAAAAAACTTGAAAATTGTCGTTTTAATGTCTTTTCGATAAAAATACCATACAAATTTTACACACCTAAGCATCGCTAGCAAGCATAGAACGGAATGAGTTTGGATAAAATTCAAGAACGAAAAGGATTATTACTAAAATAGCTCAAATGTCTCTTTTTGGACTACTTTTCGGAGCAGTCCCTTCCTGACAATGTTAAGAGCACTCGACGCTCCAAGGAAGCGACATGACTGTCTTCAAGACAGCAACAATAGACGTTTTATTAAAAGATATGCGACATAATGCGTGTTTTTGAGCACGTTTGAAAACTTTCTGCCCCACAGAACGCGGAGATATAAAATGAAAAAATATATTTAAAAAAATTGTCCTCTGCTGATCTAATAGATATGCCTTGAAATATGGAGAAATTAAGGCAAAAATTGTAGTTTTATATTTCTTTTTTTCACAAAAAGAAATTCTTGCCTTTTTCGAGCGCACAGGTAGTCTAGGAAACCATCTCTGACCTTTTATAAACATATACTCATCAGCCAATGAGAGAGCGCGTTATATCTCAAAATCTTTAAAAATTAAATTAAGTGAGCTCCCATATATAAAACCACTCTTCAATATTTCAATGTTAATCGAAACACTTGTAATAACCCGAAAAGAGTAAACAATACCTGGAAGTAGTTTATTTATTTATTTATTTAACAATTTCATTTTTCTCTCAGGTAACTACAGTGGTTTCGCTTGGCTTCATCTTTCTCTCCGTTTTTGACTTCATTCTCAGTTCAAGTAACCTCATCCCAACGCTCAGCTCACCAAACATCATCGAGTATGTATGCGGCACTTGGTTTACATTCGAGTTTGTAATACGATTAATGTTCTGCCCGTCAAAAATTGCGCACTTTAAGAAAGCGATGACATGGGTCGACATTGGCGCCCTTGTACCTTTTTATCTGCAATTTGTTATCAACCCTGAGGACATGGAAAGGCTTAAAATACTCATCATGTTTCGTCTGCTAAGGATATTTCGATTATTTCGATTCTCATATCGACTGCAGATAATGGTACTGGCATTGAAAGGCAGTCTACATGAGCTTGGTTTATTGCTTCTCATATTGACCATCTCTGTAGTGTTCTTCTCGACTCTAGTCTACTACGCAGACGGTACTGCGCACGATACTAAGTTTGTCAACATCCCATCTTCGTTCTGGTGGGCTATTATCACTTTGACGACCGTGGGGTATGGTGACGAGACGCCGATCACGTGGTCTGGTCGTCTAGTAGGAAGTGTATGTGCTCTGTGGGGAGTATTGATGATTACTCTTCCTATATCGATCGTGAACAGCAATTTCTCATTGTATTATGCCCATGCAAAGGCAATGCTACGCCTGCCTAAGAAAATAGTCAAAGACACCTTCCCACCGGGTACTAAGAGATATCTTAGCGTTCTTTCGCATATCTCGGACATGAACTTGACAGGGAGACTAGTACGACAACAGAAGATAGGAGCGGATACCAGTCCCTCTCAATCCAACATCAACCTCTCCGACGGAGTACTGAGGATGAGTTCAAGAAAGTGTCTTAGTACGAAGGTAGCTCGGATGAAACGCCTCGCGAGAAAAAACACATTGAATTTGTCGTCGCTTTCCAAGACGTCACTCTTTTCCTCGGACGCTGTTGTTCATCCTTTTCTAAGTAGGCAAAGAAGTAAATCTTTGGATACTGTTAATATAGGAATGCTGTCCAAAGACTGGGGACAAGAATTTGAAGATGGTCCCAGCACGGAAGATGAAAAAGAAGAAACAGCAAGCACATTCTACGGCAATTTTGTACTCAAAAGCACACAGAATTTAAGCAATGACTTGAACTTTCCACTTTTGGATAACACTTCAAAGAGAAATCACGTGACTTATGACTTGGATGGTCCAAACTGTAAGCCAAGTACTATAGAAGGCATTGTTACCATGGAAACGGAATTTTGACGTATTGGTCACGTGAGGTTGTGATTTACGTCATTTGAAGTATAGAAGTGAAATTTATTATGGGAKTTATGAATTATCACATGATTTTGTATACGTTAATGAGAGCAAAGCAACATGGCGAATGAATTGCGTTCTAGAAATTCGCTGTCAAATATTAGATGGATATCTTCTTACGCGAGTTTTTACTCTAGATGACAACTTTGAGCATATCTCGTTTTTAAAGCAGAATATTGTAATACTGATATGCAAATCTTCTTGTCTGCCATCGAAGAGCAATKGAGTGCGCATTGAATTGTGGGACACGAACTGCTTTGATCGCAAAGCACTAACGCGTCAAATAAAAAAATGAAAATTAATAGCCAAGTGCTGAAAACTAAATAATGTTGTAATCAAATGCATGTTGAATGTTAAAAGGGAATTCGATTGTATTAGAATATTTATAATATTTGATATGAAATCGATCCTTTAGAAGGAATCTTTTGTAGAATTTAGACAATTTTTAGACAGTTTTTACACGATGTTATCAAAATAATCCTACCAAGTTTAGAAATTGCGAAAACGATTGAAATTTATTGTTATAAAGACACTCCATTATTACGAGCCCATATACTCTTGTCAATAATATACAGAGCAACCTCGCTACACCGACCTTAACTGTTAATAAATATACTCAATTGTTACGAGCAGTTGCACTAGTTAATATACAAACCTCGCTACACCGACCTTAACTGTTAATAAATATACTCAATTGTTACGAGCAGTTGCACTAGTTAATATACAAACCTCGCTACACCGACCTTAACTGTTAATAAATATACTCAATTGTTACGAGCAGTTGCACTAGTTAATATACAAACCTCGCTACACCGACCTTAACTGTTAATAAATATACTCAATTGTTACGAGCAGTTGCACTAGTTAATATACAAACCTCGCTACACCGACCTTAACTGTTAATAAATATACTCAATTGTTACGAGCAGTTGCACTAGTTAA